TTTTATTGTTACCCTGTCATTATAGCTCGAGAAGGCTCCGGACCAGGGCCCGGCAAGAGGTGGCATTTCAGAATTTTGAAAACGATATCCCCTTTGAAGCCAAAATTTCTTACGACTTCCCCTTTGACCCTATTTTTGACCCCCGTAAGTCTCTGACAAACAGATATACACAAATAATAAGATGGGCGGCCTCAGCGCTTATTATAGTAGTACTACCTGGCTTTCCTGGTCCAGCCCGGGTCATCGTTTGAGGGGGCCAAAAACCACACTTTGTCTTTCTACCTTCCCGTCCTTTTGGGCCATATTCTCCACCCCTTTTCTGCAGTATTAATACTGCACTGCAGCCCTCCCCCTTACCCTCCGCTTACCCCCAGAAAGGCTTATTGGAGTATTGTACCTGCACCTTCTAATTTTAAAAGTGGAAATGAACTTCACTGCATTGTTCACACCAAAATGTGCAAGCAGTTTGTTAGCGGCTGGTAAGTGTTCACTTTCCTTGCAAGGTGCCAAAAATCATTGAATCGATAGAAGAATTCCACGAATTGCTTCGAAGGGTAGCTTAAAACCATCTACCGAGGCCGAAAACATATGTTTTCAAGGTTTCAGCTCAATGGGTTCATCCGCAAAGGAATCTATAAAAAAACATAGGGTCAAGATTCGCACAAAGTTTGACGTTTATATATCTAAGATACTACTCATTTATTAGTCAGCTGCGAAACTTTACAATAACCGATTGCGATTGGAGCGCGCTTTCCGAGGCCAATCATAACGCTGTGAACCCTATTTGGGGCTGTATCGAAGCTGTGCCTTGGTGGTTTTGAAAGCGGATTTGAATATATAGTAATACTCTCGACCTAGTCCACATTTATGTAAAGGAATCCGGGAAATTATGTGAAGGAAAGCAGGGAGCCACCCCAGGTTGCTCCCAGGTGGCGCGGGAGCCACCTAATTTCGAAAAACACCATTTTTTGAATTCACCTAACAAGGAAACGATACTCGGTGTCTGTGGCTTTTTGAGATGAGTTGTATACCATTACACTCGTCTTGGAACGCTGATTCCGAATCTGACTTCCGTTTCTGCTAATCGCTTCAAAGACGTTGTAGAGGATTGTGCGGGCTTTGGCTGTCCACTGAAATACGGCTGTGCGGTGTGGTCTAGTGGTTAGCGCGATGGGCTCATGAGTTGATGCAGATGTAGGTTCGAATCCTTTTGTGTTTTTCAGTTTTGCATTGACTCAATAAACCTTCTTTCGCATCTTCGAGCTAACTGAACGCCCTTACTCTTCAAAAATGTGGAAATTTGGAAAAAACTTACTATTTGCGCTAAAATGTATCCAATGACCATAATTCGAGTGAATTTCGAACAACTTTAATTGAGGTAGTGCAAAATAAAAACACAACAGGATTTGAGCCTACACCTGTATCAAGTTATGAGGCTATCACACTAACCACCAGACAATAACATGGCGCCGGTAGAGGCCGTTCTGGTGACCATACCTCTGGGCGGATAAAGTTGGCTCGAAATTCCTCCATAACTTCCTTCAGAGAAACGATTAGCAGAGACGGAAGTCAGATTCGGAATCAGCGTTCAAAGGCGAGTGTGATGGTATACATCTCGTCTCAAAAGGCCACGGACATTGAGTATCGTTCCCTTGTAAGTTTCTCATAATTCTTCATACTTTTTTGTGCTCATGGTCCTCCAAATATACAGCAAATTTGGTGCCATATCGTTACTTGTGCATTGAAAACGAGCCTATTTTGTTATTTTCCTCTTACAAGAATTGCGATTTGAATTCCCGCCTGCGGGCAGGCTAGCGATCGGAGACAGAATCTTCACATTGCTGGAATCTAAGTTCATAGGACAGTAGCATCAACAAGGAATGATGAATAAAGAATGATATGTGCATTGTTTAGCTTGTGAAAGCGCCACCCCCGTCGGGCCCTGCTCGGACCAAGTCGGCTCCAAGAATGCTTGCTTTACCAAAATTACAAATCGTTACCCAGCTTATATGGATAAAGGATAAGGGACCAATAAAATGTGCTGCTCAGCGCTCAAAAATTATTGATGTACTCGTCCCCGTTGTCAGCCATAGTCCCAAACTAGGATTGGCACTCTTCTGAGCCTCAAAACTCAAGTCTGAAATTCTGCAATGAGGCAGATGCATCGTTTATATGATGCTATAACTATGCTAGCATTTTTGAATTTTCCGCAAAGCTACCTTCAAAGCTTCAAAGCTAAAAAGCAATAGAAGGCATGCTTGCAGTGGTTTGCTTATTCATTTTCACTGGATGCCGAGTGCATGATGCAAACAAGGTGCTCTACATTTGGATTTTCAGGATACGAAATGTTGTACATCATGCACGAAAACAAGTTCTCGATATGCTTACAACATCATAGAACTTAGCTGACGGCACAAGTCGAGCTTTGAGGCTTAAAAGTGTGCCAATCCTATAGTGAGTTTGGGACTGCATTGGCAACGGGGACAATCATATCTACAATTTTTGAGGCTGAGCATCACAATTATTGATCCCTTAGCCTTTATCCATGTGAGGTAGATAAAGAATTTAAATATTGATAAAACATTTAAATTTGGAGCCGACTTGGCCAGACCTTGTTAGAACTATGAAAGCAGAGAATTACCCCTTTCTAAACTTCATTAGGTCCAGCGCGCAGTAGGTGTGTCAGACTTTGAAGTCGTAGAATAACATGGAAAATTGAACATCAAAGGTCGCATCGTCAAGCAAAAAAAAAGCGCTGATTGAAGATTCGTATAATTATGCACCGGCCAAAAACGTGTTCGGCGTGCAATGCTTTTCCGAGATTGACACCGAGTTTCATTGTTATGCTGCGTATACCGCTTTCGGCCACGCTCTTTCACATGGTACCAATGGTTTTTTGAATATTATTCAAAAAGTCCAGAAAACTGTAAGATATGGAGTGTTTGTATGAATATGAACCGATCTTTATCTATGAGCAGAGTGGAAATTGTCTCTGCGCCCGCAAGAGCATAAAACATTCATACAAAAAGATATCACCTCAACGCTCAGCTCAGTCACCTTCAGTGTCGGTGCTATACGTAGACAGGAAAACCATTCAAGTACAAATGAGAACCAAGAAAGTGCGGTTGCGGGAAGTGCGCGCGTATCGCACGCGGTCGCCTGCCCCTCCCTTTTTTAAGCTACAATTGCTTACGAAATGGCCCATTGCTTTCCGCTCACCTCCACAAAAGACTCTTGATTCTTATTGTTAGATAAGGTGTTAATCGTGTACTACGTGAAATTCAAAGCCAATAAGAAGATTTGAGTACCTCAAAAGTCGGATTATAGCTAAAATAGTATTAGGAAGCTCCCAATCAGTCATACGTGTAGTGGACACATGAAAGTACCAAAATGCACGTTTGCTGTAATTTTGGCTAGAAACAAGGACAAAATAGTGATCTCAAAAAGGCAATTTTCGCTCCTAGAAATCCTGGTTGAAGTCCATTTGCGCAATTGCTAAGAACATCGGCAGGTATAACTGTATCACTATAATGTTCTTCAACAATTCTGCTTTTCCAAGGGTACTTTGGATCTTTTTGTCGTCTATGGGAATAGACATGATCTCGACTTTCAGACTGTGATGAAGAGATGGCACCAATATGTAGCGGAAGAAGTATTATCAATTTCGTACTTACGGGTCAAAGGAAATCTGAATATGCCCATACAATATAGTGTTGCAAACTATATTGAATGTAACAATAATGTAACTCTGCGATCCGAATCTGTTGTAATGACAGCACTTCGGATTCCACAAAAAAGTTACACTAGCAGAACAGAAAGGAATCTAGACTCTTAAAGCGTCATTTCCAGAATTTACAGGCATCTTGATGTTTTTCATACAAGTGCATGAAGAATCTTACAACTATAGAAAAATGAGTGCACATCTTTTTGGGAAAATAATCAAGCTTGTTTAAGCTGTCTTGTCACAGTGACGCCGAAAAAGACTGAGTACACTTTGACGGCTCATCCCCGTGGCGCAAACGTAAAGAACCTTCAGCTACATAAGGAAGCAGAAGGGTTGGCAATGCTTAGAACTGCTCTAAAAAAGACGTCAGTGTTCGTTGTGAAAGTCAACACCTGCGTCAGGCGCTAACTTATCTGCATTTCTTGCGGTTTCCGACTGTTTTTGCGGTGGACTTCTTTCACACCAACACAACACATTGACCCCAGTGGCGCATTTGTTCTTAGTACAACAGGTGGTAGCTTTGATTTGGACGTTGCTGAGGCACGCTGCACATGCTCTTACAGTTCTATCGCTTTGATATCGCTTATTGATTTTCAATACTTTCATTCATCTCCACTACTGCTTAGGCTCCAGTTTTTTTTTCTTTCTCAAAGCATAGTCTTATAGATTAATTACCGGTGATGCACATTGCCTCAATTCTTTCGTGTTTTTACCTATAGAGGCATAAATTAATTTTTGAATGTCTTGAATGAGTAACTATCTAACAGATAGTTGCAACAAAGAATAAAAATGTTTGAAATTCAGAGAGGTTTTAGCTTTATCATCGAAATACCTTACGCAATTTGAAAAAGCTATAATTGAAGTAAAAGCGACGTTTTATATTGAACTCGTCGAAAAATTTGCTACAACTATACCCTACGATAATCTGGGAATTTTTGGCGGATTATTGGGATTTGTTGGAAAAATTGAACAAAGACATTTTGTAAAATGTGCCTCATATGCTTAGTAATAACAGAAGGTAAAAGCTAAGATACATTCATTTATTTTTCAACAAGCATCTGGAAGTTTAGGGAAGAAATCTGCTTCAAATAGTTATCAATAATAGTTATGTAAAAGCATGCTGCATCGAACTTACAACCAATCACAAAACTTGATTTATTCTCTTTCTTACGCGTTGCTGATGGGTTAGTGAAAAGAAAACGAAGACTATCTTTATTGAACGATTGATACTTCTCAACCCCTCTTGCTCTCTTATCTTGATTATACGTTACAAACAGTTAGCAGTTCATCCTCCGTTGGAGGACAGCAGTACCATCCAAGTATGTTGAAACTGTGGAAGTCATTGCTGTCGAGGTGTGTGAGCCTATATTCACCTTCTTCTCTTCTTCTTTCACTTTTCTGTTAATAAAATCTACACCGTTGAAGATGGGAAACAATGAAACGTGAACCACGAAAAGAACGACCGCAATGGTCAGAGAGTTCTTCACTTGCTAGCACAACGCAACTAGACTCTCAAGGTATTCATGGTATCTTTCTTGCAATAATGCGTCTAGTAATACAGCTAACAATTTTTGCTTCAATTTTGACGAAAAACGGATTATGAAGCATTCCCTGCTTCCAGGTAATGCATTTCCTTACCGCTTTTGAACTTAATTGTGTGCAGCTGCTCCTCACATTACAATTTTAGCGAATTGGCCGCCAACTTTGGGTGTTTGTCCCATTCTTGTACGAAAATGTGACTGCTAACGTTCAACAGCTGCCATCATTTTATTGGGTGTTGATGTCTTCAGCTTTTGCGTCTCTAATAAGTAATCAATTCTTTTTTTCAAAGCAATGCCTCATTTGTGCAAAACTTGTTTCGTCTGGAGCTATAAATCCATTGACAATCATTTGTTTTCAAGACGAATTTCTCGTATCAATAACAATGTTGGACATCCACATTGATAATTTGCTTTATCCTGGGCCTCCCATTTTGAAAACTGTTGTATACGTTTCAGATTCTCAAATTCTTTCTCTCCTTGCTCATTTTGACGGTGTGCACCTGCTTGTACTACAATCTACATTCTAGGCCCCTTCGCATTACCTGTTTCAGACCTTCCTATAGTGTTTTGCAGTATCCTGAGGTACACGTATTTGGCCGGGGTCAAAACCTGCAATAATCTTTACTTGCATTAATTTATTTAACTGTCAGTAAATCGATCATATCATCTTTGTTTTATTTTTCTCAGCAAGATTAAATAGTTCAAAGGCAAGCGCCATACTTATAAAAGCACCCGCTTCATCGTTCACCCATCCGCTGCTGTTCAGATCACTGGGTTGGCCAATAGCGAATGAATGCATCGGATGAGTCTTTCAACCGGGTAAGTATGCCGCCTGCCAGAAAAAACTGTAGTGGAAGCTGGTCAAGCCAGAATCTCGACACTGGAGCATTTCTTGACTTTTATGATACTTTATGGACTTCTTCTCTAGTGCACAACCTGCATCATGGTTGCTCTAAAGGCAAACACAACACCAGGCAAAGGGTCCGAAGTTGCATGGAATCTTTTGCCGTGAAGCGCATTAACAAATTCACGACGAGGCCGTTTTTTTAATATCTGCCATTTCTGACCAGAGCGTATTTTGCAGTCTCAAAAATCTCATCATTAGATTGTCTGATTGAGAATAGTAGTCCTTCGCTCAAAGCTCTACCTGAAAGGTCTTCAAACATGCCAAAAATTCATGAAGTTTCACCATCATCTAAGGCGAACCTTTAACACACGTACAACCCATTGATGGTTCTCATTTTCTGAAATGGTGCTACAGTATTCCTCATTTTTTTGCTGAGGTCAGTGGGAGGACCACGAAACCCTACCATAGCAATATTCCCCAGGGGGAGACGAACCGTCCCTTCTGAACGCACCGTCCCCTACAGTAATCTAGAACTAGGACGCATGCGCTGCGATGACTGCGGACGAGTGCTCCGCGAAGGGCTCGTATTTTCGAAAATCACCAACTCCTTTCGTGCGGTTCTTGCATTATGGAATGCAAACCAATCGCTGATTTCAACCAAACACAGCTACCATCCTCTGAACGTTTGGTATTCTGAGCCCTACTTCCCAGCAAGTATGTTTATAATTTATGGGACATTTTCGAAGTCTTTTCATTTCCACATAAAAAAAACTTCTCATGAATCTCCTTTGAATTCTTTCGAACTTTTTTTGCTTTTTTTTCCACTTATATCCATTGTGTGTGTGCGATCCCTATAACGTCGTGCACCGTCACATCTCAAATTTTGCAAAAAAATCGATAAAATCGACATCAATCGATAACGAAAAGTGGACTGTGACACCCGCCGGGGCCCGAAGTGTATGTGTGCTAAGTTTGGTCCGGATCGGTTAAAAAATGGAATTTTCTATTCGGAACATACGGCGGAGCCGGGTAAGCCAGCTAGTTACATATAAGTCTTACTTACCACATCATTAGGTCATCCTGAATATCATTTGTCTTGTTTACTCTCTGACCTTGCCACATTGAAATTTTCCTCATCTTGGATACTCTTTCAACAAACCATATCGTGCAAATACTAAGGAACTGATGTTTTAGGATATCTCATGGAATCTATCATTATCGAGATACCCCAATAATTTTTCGCCGAAATATAAAAGGGTTTTATTTGATGAAGTTAGAAGAACCTCTGCTTCCCAAAACGTGTACGTTGTTCAGGGAGATGAAGTCATCCTTACCAATGACGTCTTGTTTTGAAATTTCTAACAACAAAAAGATTTCGTAAATGATACTTCTACGTCATCCATCAACATCAGTTGTTAGCAAACTCAGGTCCCTATTCATTACTTGAATACGGATAGCAAAATGATTAGTTATATATACGACCTAGAGGATAAACAACACATCATATAAGCAGGACTCTTTATGATCTGATAAGTAAGATTACTGAAAAAGTAAAAGGCAGCCGGGTCGCCTTTTATGGTCGCGTTAGCTATATACTGTAGCTAAGGTCAGCGCCGGATTCCGACGGATAATGCTTTGTATTGAGGAAAGCCCACGTAATCAAAGTTTGTGTGACAACTTTTTATAAAGGCCAATCATAACTCAAATTGGTGATCTACGCTAATTCGTTATCAAGTGCGTATTCCCTTCTGACCTTTCAGTGTATCTCTGTAGCTTTCAAAAAAAATTATCACCTTCTTAAAATTCTCATTCCTGTAAAATTTACAAACGTGCATTTGAAACTTTTACGCTATAAAAAGCATAATGCGTGCAGGCAAAGAAAAGGTCGCCACCAAAATCAAACCATCCAGATCACGCTACCAAATGAAGGATGCAATCGAACTCACAAAGACTTAGGATAGCAGAGCTTGCAATCGAACTAAAAAAACATTGAAATAAGTCGAAAAAGACATTGAAAATGTCTCATAGGTCAAAAAAATACCAGCTTAGAAAGTAGCCGGCGATTTAAGTAGTGTGAAGTAGAGCGAATAACTTAAGTTATTGAATGCTAGGGAATTTGGGGAATTTAGGAATTTTCCAGAGAATTACCTCCAGAATCTCATTGTGGAGTAGGTTACCAGCGATGCGAAACTCGTCCGCCTCTGCGCAGGTCAGCCGCTCGCTCCCGCGAGCTAGCCAATCATGGAGTGACCTCTAATTAGCGCTAAACTCTTGTAGCCGTCGCGATTGGGGCAGGTTCAGAAGGGCCTACACCCTTCCCCAGGGCGCGAACCTACCGGGACACTGCCTTTAAGGCCGTGTCGCAATATAAATACAGTGGAATGTTTGCATTTTTAAGTTTTCGCAATAACACGTTATGAAACTGAGGACCAAAGAATGCAGCACCAGAACGCCCTGTAGCATTTTTCTTCAGGAGCATCACAATTTTCGGAGTCCTATCCGCTTTTGTTAGCTGAAAATTCCAAACTTTTTTTGCCTCCATAATCGGCATACAAGTTAAGTTTTTACAGCTTAAAGTATATTTGAAGCTTCTTCTACGGTCTAAATGGTTGGGATTGGAATTTCCGGTGTCGAACAGAAACAATCACAATCTTTAGGTCAGAGATTGTGATTGTTTCGTTCGACACCGGAAATTCCAATTTTTCCTTCGTATGATCCCAACCATTCAGATCATAGAAGAAGCTTCAAATATACTTTAAGCTGTAAAAACTTAACTTGTATGCCGATTATGGAGGCAAAGAAAGTTTGGAATTTTCAGCTAACAAAAGCGGATGGGACTCCGAGAATTGTGAAAAATGCTACAGGGCGTTGGTGCTGCATTCTTTGGTCTTCAGTTTGATAAGTTATGGCGAAGACTTTGAAAATGCAAACATTCCACTGTACTTATATTGCCACACGGCCTTAAAGGGTGTTCCGGCAGATTCGCGCCCTGGGGAATATCGCTATGGTAGGGATTCCTGGTCCTCCCACTGACCTCAGGCGCAGTCCGGCTAGTGATGTTCCACCTGGCTCGAGAAAAGAGCCCTTGAACGGGCGCGCGCAACCCCAATCAGCGCTCGCTCGGACGACTTCGCTTGCCGTTCAGCGGATCCCACGATCACTCTCCCGCATTGTGCGTGCTATCCAGAGCAAAAATTACAGGCAGCAGGGTCTTCGTGCCAGAGCCTCCCAACTTTCCATTGAAATTCTCGTCCGAGCTGCCTTCTGGAAATTGGGTAAACGCTCCGAGGTCTTTTCACCCGTTTCAAAGCTCAAATTCGGAGTTCACTGGCCGAAAAGGCCCAAAACATGCAAAGAGATGAAAATGCAAAATCTGCCGAGACACTGCTTTTGATGCAACACTTTCTTGCAATTACTGGTGTTTATTCAAACGGAACAATCACTTAGTGTCAGGGAGCCTCCACACCGCATCAATTGTATTATCGTCTTCCCAACTTTAGCGAGGCGTTCCGACGAGCGCCATTGCGTACTTTCTGAAAAAGAATACATGTCAAAACATGAAAAATATTACCTTTGTAACTGGACGCTGCCGTGGAATCAGCTGATTGAAAATGCTGCGCCGCGACTAAGCGTTTTGTCGCGCGCGAAAGTACGCAATGGCGCTCGTCGGATCGCCTCGCCAAACTCAGACAGCGGATAGGACCCCTCCGGCGGAGAAATGGCAGGGCCGCGGGGTTTTCCCAGCGGTGGGTCTGCCACTCGTCCGCCGGAGCCGTCCCATTTCTGCTCCGGAGACCTCCCATTTCTGTTCCGGAGCCCTCCCATTTTGTGCTCCGGAGACCTCCCATTTCTGCTCCGGACCCCTCCGATTTTCTTCGGCGCGGCTCTGCCAAATCTGGCGTACCTCCGGAGCAGAAATGGCATACCTTTGCAGCAGGGCCGGAGAAGGGTCCCACTTGCCTGAGTGATGTCACCGCGACCTACAAGAAGGGACCGCCCAACCGCCCCGCTCTCATTGGTCAACTGGGTCCGGTAGATTCTGGCACTCTGGCAGATTCCGACTGTCCGGCGGAGGGGTCCGGTCGATTGTCTGAGAAATTGGGGAGACGATAATAGCTTTGCAGCCGGTAGTCGCTTTTGTCCTTGTTACCGCTTTTTGCGGTCAAAGTGCAACTTGTCAAGCCATTGCCCTTATCGCGTGCTTAGTCTTCAGCGACTACGCAAAAACTTGTGATTTGTAGCCCACGCGCAACTCTAGAAAGAATATGCAATAATGAGCACAAGAAACTCAATAATCAGCTAGTATCCAGTGCCGTACCGAACGGGAGGTGATGGAAGGGGGGGGAGCTGGAGGGAGGGAAGAATGAAGAAGATGAGAATGAGTCACGAAATTCTTGAAACTCCCCCACATGAGTTATCAAAATGCAAGTGATTTGTTTATGCTTTTAAAGCAGCCAACGCCACGCATCTTTATCAGGAAATTCCCTTCCCCCCGAACAGAAATCCTGGGTACGGTACTGGTACCAATGTAGTAACTGTACAAAAGAAATAAGTTGCCACGTTTTCAGTCAATGCAGCTTGAAAAGTTGCTGTAAGGGACTCATGCAAATTAGGGATAGAACACTTTGGCTTAATTACAAGCTGTAAAGATGTGAATGAGAGATATGTTCATTGTATGGAGTGAGGCATCCTAGCATCTCTAACTGCAAGTGTCTGCCATTGCTGAATACACTTGAGAAATCGGATGTGCTTGAAGATTTTTCTTTGAGCTTTACTGGTTTATGACGCTTTCCTAATTCCATTTGCCATTCAGTGTTTATAAACTCACCTGCTCATCAACAGTAGTTTTCTACAAGAAAAGGATTTTGACATGCACGAAATGCCAAATATTTGTAACCAGCTTTTGAATAAAAAATTGCAGATCTCCCGCAAACAGCACTGCTGCGTAAACGAATGGTACAAGGTGGTCTGCTGCCTGGAAGCCCAGACACTCTACCATCTAAGTCACCTATTTGCACTGTATGGTATTGAATTCCAAAAATCTTAGTGGTTGTTTTTCAGTTCCAACTCCGTCATCTCCATCATTGATGAGGTAAACTATTCGCGGAAGTCCAAAGACAAGCAACTTCCTTCACATAAAAAGATCATTATTTTGAAACGCTCGGCGGTTTCTTCTCCAAAAGTAAGCAAGAAGCATTTGCATTTATTTACTTTATTTTTGCTTATGTATTTTTTTGAACTCAAACTTCACACCGTCTCAAATACTCCTTGATAGTAACTCACAAATTTTCTTACTAGCTCATAGGAGAACGTGAGCGGCTGAACTCGAGCGATCGCAACTTTTGAAGATGTAATTCTTGCTGTAAAGCTGATGTCGCTACTCGCACCTTGAGGAACCTTGAAATCCTCCGAATTTCGGGTTTGCTTTCCTTAGCTAGAAACTCCTGGCTTCTCTTACACTTCGGAAAACTTTGAGCCGACTTCCAAGCTCGATTAGATGACCATGACATATGTATCGATAAGCTGGTGTAAATTGAGAAAGTGGAACGAAACGTGAAGCAGCTCCAATAGGGTAGCGTTTTCAAAACTGGTAGATGAATGTATGGCTACGGTTTCAGATTCATGCTGAAGCGAAGGTAGGAGTCTATACGGCTTTCAACACTGAGAGATATTGAAAAGATTATACTGGAAGATTTACGAGTTTTTAACGTTCCGACCTAGCACGAGTTATGGAGTGTCTCAGACATTGCACCGGGAAGTTCACGGGTGCTTGCTCGGCCACCAATCATCCATGCCGCAAGCTGCCCGGTATAAACAAATATTGAATCCGGTAAGTGACCGCGGCACATCCTGTAAACGACCGATAGTTGACCTGACTAGCATGCTTGTAGGCCTAGAAAGAGTAAGAAATCTTTTGGTCTGCCTTTCATGACAACGACTGAGTACACATTGAGCAACTTATTGGTCGTCGACACCACTCCACTTATTGCAGAAGTCTGTTTCGTGAGCATATAAACTCAACTACACAACCCGACCCGAGGTTACGACCCCCCCCCCCTGATTGCTCTCTCAATAGGACCCCCCCTGAACTATATACCTAAGATAGCATTACCAGAGTTGAGAAAGGCACAAGTTTCGACCCCTCCCCCCTCCCATGAAAGTCCTCAAACGACCCCTTCTTCCTCCTCTTAACCTCTGGACCTCAAAGTGTGACATTCTAGAGGACACCATCGTTTCTAGAGAGTTTTCAGATTTCTGAGAGCTGTACGCCCGATTTTCTGTGACTGCACTTTAAATCACACGTAATTTGACGGCTGATTTTGATTTGAATGGGCATATTGAAAGGGCCATAATTTTCTTATGGGTGGGGCGTTCGGCTCCAAATTTCCACTGTAGCAAGAAGAAGCTATATGCTCAATACTCATACCAGCAATGGAGAGCTTTCTGGATTTTGAAGGCAAGTTTAGGGGTTGCGGCACACGATCGCTGGTTACGACCCCCCCCCCCCTGATTGCTCTCTCAATAAGACCCCCCCCCCCCTGAACTATATACCTAAGATAGCATTACCAGAGTTGAGAAAGACAGGCACAAGTTTCGCCCCCCCCCCTCCCATGAAAGCCCTCAAACGACCCCTTCTTCCTCCTCTTAACCTCTGGACCTCAAAGTGTGACATTCTAGAGGACACCATCGTTTCTAGAGAGTTTTCAGATTTCTGAGAGCTGTACGCCCGATTTTCTGTGACTGCACTTTACAATCACACGTAATTTGACGGCTGATTTTGATTTGAATGGGCATATTGAAAGGGCCATAATTTTCTTATGGGTGGGGCGTTCGGCTCCAAATTTCCACTGTAGCAAGAAGAAACTATGTGCTCAATACTCATACCAGCAATGGAGCGCTTTCTGGATTTTGAAGGCGAGTTAGGGCCCCCGGGTGTGGCGTGCAGCACCCCACGTCTGACCCTGGCGAACACCTTCCCCACAAACACTTAGGGTAGCCCTATCGCTGCGGCGTACCTCACACGAGTTGCGCCTTGAGCTACAGCGTGTAAGAAGTGCCTCCTTTGATAAGGCCCGCGGCACGCCGAGTGAGGTGATTGGGCTGCGATTCTCCCGATAAGCTCTTTTCAATTTTAACTTTGGCCGCGGCGTTCCCGATAAAATATACATGGCCGCGGTGTCCCATGTAGCACGCTTTGAGGCCGCGAACTTTCCGATGCAATTGTCTGGTAGTATGTTGTCTAGACGAAGAAGTTTGTGCAAATCAAAGGGAATCTCCCTTTTGCTGTTCATTCGGTTGTAGTTTCATTGACGTGTGAGCGTCAACACCTTGACAGGTTAAGACAAACACAAGCCACTGCACTTGCTGATTTCTTTTATGTGCAAAGTCTGTCGCAGCCACTAGCTTCTCATATCAATTTCAAAACGGTCGAAGCTCATCCGTGAGCAACCCACACGCATAGATCATGTAGTAATGATTGATTTTATTGTGATAGATGCATATGCTCACTTGTTTTTCAATGGAGGATTGGTGGATGCAAGACTCGACAGCAATGACACTCTTGATTGCCAACCATATCCTACATGATCACTCTAGATTTTGTTGACATTTTTTGTGAAATGTCGTTTTTTTTTGTTCGGCTATTCAATAATGATATGACAAAATACTGGCAGATCAGATATATTGAGCTCTCGAATCCGAAATAAAAAAGTCGCGTAAATTTTGTGAATGCAGCTTCATTGTTCTTTCGAAACAAAATTGGTTTGCGTAGAATTTGTTACCTAATTTCAGTCTCGGATTTTTGAGCTTAGCCTATGTTACCTCTTGATTGTATTCGTGTTAAATTTTTTAAGATTTTTTTGTAAAAATTGAATTATTATTCGATAGACTAAAAGGTATTACAAAACTTGATCCATGAAGCTGGGAGATACGGTCTATAGAATGCAAAACTCCAACAATCTGTTCCTCTAAAAGATTTTGCAGACCTCTTACTTTCTCAAGCATACATTATCACTAGGTCGCTCCAAAAGCTCTTTCCGTTTTTTCCATGTATGAAAAATAAAGGAGAAGAACGTTTTGAATGTTATTTTAGCAGATTTCTTCCCTTTTTTAGCACTCATGATTCCGCAATGGTTACTCTTGTAGTTACTGATTAAGCTATGCTTTTTACTATATCCAACTTTGGCAAAAAGCTTAGATAAGATAACAGGAGAATAGAGTAAACAAAGTGCAGTGTGATGCTATTTTTTGGCATAGCTGGCTCAAAAATATTTTTCAAAAATATTTTGCTTCTGCTATCGAATTCCATATTTGGCCATCCCGAACCTCATAGAGCGCTAAACGGCGCATAAGTAGGATATCATCGATGCGGCTTTCTTTCCTCTCACCTGAGAGGCTGTTTTTCTTCCTAATTCGTACAGTCTTAGACGAGCAAATCTCGTAATTTTCGATTTGAACGCATTCCGAGCTGTATAAGGGAATGCAAATTTGACATTTGGAAGCGGCACTTAATAGCTTTGTAAACCTGGGAGCATGACTGATTATTGATAATTCCAAATCCCGAAGATTAATAGTGCTCAAAACGTTATTTTGCTACTTCTCGGTAGTGAAGATTTAGGCAAATTGTCTTGAAGAAGTTTAAAGACCGGCTGTAGAAGCTAAATTGCTTTGTATTGCACTCTATCTACGCTATCCAACTGCAATCAAGGGCTTTCCATATTATAAAAGTCCAAATAAAGATTTCGAGAAATGAAGTTGGACATGCTAAAAACCATGGGTTCAAAATCTTAGTGACCGCAGAAGTTACCAGTTCGTGAACATAACAAACTAAAAAGAGACTGCTGCGTCAAATGTTTCCAAAGATTGTATTCATTTTACGTGTTTTATGATAGGCGGAAAAACGGAAAGATTTTTGGAACAACGCGACCTAATGTATATATACTAAGCATACACGTATTCGCGCCACTTCACGTCGGTATGGCTTTAGCCCAAATTGGTCTCACCGAGGTCAGCACGCAAATTGCGTTGCAGATGCTTTCTGGAAAAGTACGCGGTTGACATAGACTGTATGACGGTTGTTCCTAAGGCTACAAATCGCTAGAACAAGAAAGCCGATATTGACAAACACCATGTTCGAACCCTCGCGCTGAATATGATACCTAAAAGAGTAACGCACTTTTTAAGGTAAAACTCAATGCTTGTACCTCAAAGTTATGTGGTATATGATTATCTATGTGGGGAAAGCTCAGGACTGCTGCCATAGCATGCGAATTTTATCTTAATTTCTAGTCAAAAGTACAGCAAAATCTGCGGTAGACAATTACATTCATGAGCAAATGAGAGGCCCGTAAGAATTTTTGGTGTAAAGATAGAGAGATAGGTTTAGCATAACTGAGTACTTAGATTTCATCGTACAACTTTATGCGAATAGATGATGCTTTAGTCCAAGCCTTGCTCAAAAACGAGAATTATAAGATTTCGTTCCAAATGAAAAGGCTAGGACGACCCGTCTTTCCTAGTAAGCTGAATCATACCGAACACCACTGCAGGTTTTCATTTTCATCATGTGTATTCTCGATTTCGCGATAGTTTTTTTGTTTCAAAAACTCTTGCGATAACTTTTGATCCAGTTTGTTTGACGTAGGCGCTATCGACACTTTGCAATCGGTCCAACATTTCAGCGTTCTCCTGTTTCTCAGCGGCATAAAAATAGTTCCATGCACCACTTGTTACACCACTGAACTTCTCTTATTTAGCTAGTTTCCAACTTGTCCCAAACTCCTCTCCAAATCCTCCATGCAAAAAAATGAACCCAAGTTCAACGTGCTTTATAAAAAGTAGCAGTGGCATGCCCAGGATTTTTGTTCGAGCGGGGGGGGGGGGGGGGGAGAGAGACGAAAATGTGTCTAATGAGGGTGCGTGGCATCAGCTACGCACTCCGAAAAATTTTTTGGTATACTTCCTGAAATTTTTGCTGGTCGTAACCCGAAATTCCAGAAAATAGGGGAGTGGTGGCAGCCACGCTCCCGAAAAAATTTTTGTAGGGCTAAACTGCATTTTCTATAATTTTTAAAAATTATATTAATCCTTTGCAAGTATAAGCAAGTCGCTTGCACATTTTCTAACTGATACAAGTAATTTTCACAAATTTCGCGACCCATTCTCGGGCGCCCCCCCCCCCCATCGGCACGATGCCCGCGCGGCGGCGGAAGAAGTAAGAAAGACGTATGTCAACTTTGCACCAACTAAAAGACGAATTTTCTATCTGCTTTCCAAAGTATTTCTTTTCCGCTTTCGTCACTCGATTTCGGTTGTGTCAACGCTTCCTGTCTGGAACTCATCGTGTGGAAATAGAATTATTAGATGGATGCATATCTGCCCAAAGTTTATGTGCTTGGAGCAAGTGGGCTCAGACATGTAAGATGAGACATATGTGGCCTGATTTGACTTATTTTTAGGCCTCTGAGGAAGCACTAAACCTTAATTTCAATACCTCTATGAGAAAGTGGATTACCTCTATGAGAAAGTGCATGGCACTGCAAAAGTGAAAGCTTTCTCGTAAATTCAAAACTGTCAATATTATTTCTTAAATAATTCTTGATATGGACATATGCCAAATTGCACCATGTATCAAAAGCCTTCAAGATTGATAAGATGGATCATTATAAGCTTAGCCTCGTTCAATTCTGCTCCCTCAAGCTCGAATTTTTCGCAAATCCCAGCCGCCCGACAGCAGTGTAAAATTTTGATTGGATTCGGACGAAAATAATTCCGAACGCTGCTTTCCAAAGACCCAAAAGCTACGGGCAGCTGGTAAAAAATATGCGCACTCATTCAATGTACTGTGTGTAAAGTAATAAAATGGTTTAACATCCACTTAACGATACTGCATTGTCGTACTACCTCACTTTCTTTGCTTTGCAGATACCGCAATTCCTACTCGCTTCAGAGTTGCCCTTTCTATTTCCAATCGCTAAGATTCTCGTTCAACATCTGGAAGTAGTGCATTTTTTCGAGTAATGCGCTTGATATCATAATATAATTCCAAATTACCAAAATTGCTTCATTATTGACTGACTAAGAAGTTTATTTTAAGAAGATTTATATATTTGAGCATTGTCACATAGACTTGTGCAATGCGATGCCGCAGTACCCTACCTTTGAATCGTAAAGAGCTCTAGCACAATTGTGGGCTACATAGTTAAATTGGTGATTTGGTGATCAACACAATCTTCGACACAACGCCTTGGCGAAAAGCTTGTATTTCTGCACAATCGAGCGTAACAAATGGTCATAAAGCGCGCATTGTGTGCAACCCCTCATTATTACTCAAGCTCAAATTTTGTCGCAGCGCAAACACTATATTATGTCACTATATTAACCAACAAGCTCGAAAGGAAGCAAATGCGAAGCGGATTCAGTTTGTAAATGTGGCAATATAAGTCCAAACCTGCATATCATACACCGGTAAAATGCCACCAATCATAAAAGTTTGATGGTTGACTGAATACCTATTCAGCGCATATTTGGAGAGTATGAGATCAATGACGCACCAAACTGCAGCTATCCCTGAGAAATTGACATTTTTTGTCATTAGATTGTGCCAGCCATATGGGTTGCGTAGGTCAAATATTTTCTAGATTCTATAATTACGCTACGATGATATCCAAAATTTTGGAAAAAACGCTGGGAGCTTGGTACCGCCTTATTCTTACTGCTCGACACCATTTTCAACCCAGTGAAGAACATATCGCTCAAAAAAATAAGACTTTAGGCTCGGCATATCGACAACCGCACGAGTACAGTATGCTTATTTCCAGCTATCGTTCATCTTGGCGTACACCCTTGAAAAATCAAAAAAGTAAGGTGGTATATAATCCTAAATGTTTTGCTTTGACTTTCAGAAGTACAAAAAAATACTAAGCATGTTTAGTCAGAAAGCCTACAGTGTTGGCCCACATGGTTAGTGCTTGATGAAAAAGTAGCCAAGGCGCAGTCAAAGCAAGAGGAAAACGTTTTATTGCACTTTTTCTCGTTAGGGACCTAAAGTACGTACTCAAGAAGACCATCTCACATTGGCCATATTTCAAGAACAGCCTAATCACCTATTATGTTAGATATAGTTTAGTGAGCTTCCTATAATTCCAACTAAGACTTAATTTTAAAGGGAGTTATGACCCTATGAAGCTCCGTCAGCCATAACAGTCCAACTATTAATATCCTGCTTATCGTCACCACATGACGCCTCTTCAGTGGCTGAAATCTGCAGGTGCGGAGGATGCCCTTTGCAAACTTCGCACCCACCTCCAAATTTTTTCGAAAGGCTACTTACCAAGAATGTGTCGATTATGTCATGCTAATTTATTCGAATTGATTAAATGTTCTCGCATTTCGCTAAGGAGAATATCTAAACTCGTTGACTTCTACATTTTCTACATAATTTGAAGCTTTCCTTCATTGTTCAGGAAGAAGCGATGGACACTAGTAAAATATGGATGCCAAAAAAGCGACATTTTCGCGACACGGAAGAGTGGCGCAAGAAAAAAACTCGTGTACTCAACAAGATGAGAGCGCTTTCACGAATCAATCTGCTGCTGGTGTTATCCAAGATGTCGGTATGTGAAGTTCTTTGCATTGGCAATTCTTTGCGTGGTTTTTGTTTTGAAATGAGGACACAGACCAATCAATTAGGTTTGAGTACAATACCACCCGTAATTTGTGAAAAAAAATGGCGGCGGCACTTAACTTACGCGGCGCCGCCGAAGTTAGGTGACTTTTGCCGCGTCGCGCGGCAAAAGTCGGCGGAAAAGCGGCCAAAGTCACCTAACTTTGTCGCGCAACGCCTAACTTTTTATAAAAAAAGACCTTATCTTGATTCAAAATTTATGAATTCTATATATAAGAGTACCATTCAACTCAGCTCGGCGAGGCGCATCTTCCAGTATACGGATGTGCCTAGTTGTGGGATATAAGTTTCTTTCCTGGAATTTTAGTGTAAATGGACCATTCAGTGTGCTTATTCCAGAGGATACGTACACATTCTATTGAGCACAGCAGAAATAGGGCAGGTATAGTTTAAGAGCTCATTCTGCATAGATATATGTGAAACTGTGCAGCTCATTCTGCATGGATGTGCGTGAAAGTGGGCTTTTCTCGGCGAAGTATGACGGGTCCCAAAATGCAGGAAGACAAAGGGAAATGGTTGGAAATCGCATGAGAAGCACATATCGCGGAATGCCGCGCGTGCTGTGCAATGTACAATACCACTCACAGAACGGGAATTTCGCGAAATTCCAGAAATTTCGCGATTCCGGATTATCGCAAATTATGCAGCGCCATAACTTCCTTCGGAATTAATATATTCTAAATTCGAAAGCAGCACTGTGTTCATCTCGTCAAGGCGAATCTTTCTACATACGTCATGTCATCTATATCTTGTTTTCAGTTTTCTCAAATTGTTCTGAGGAGGTCCCTTTGCAAGTATGTAACGCAGCGCCTATCCAACTTGAAAGCTTCCAGTAAGCACCATTCGATAGTGCTCTTCTTGTGCATTATAGTGCGCTAGTAAGCTGCCGCAGACTTCTTTTCAAAAGAGAAAAAAGCGTTGGTAAATTCTGGAAAAATCACTCGTTTCCAGATTCTACTCGCCGTAACTTTCTTTGGAGTGGATATTTTCTGAATCCGAAAAATGCATTGTGCTCAGCTCATCAAGGCAAATCTTTCGGTATGCAGAATGTCTTTGATATCTCGATTTCAGTATTCTCAAAACTTTCTGCGGACGTCTCTTCGCAAAGGTGTGAAGCAGCGCGTATTGCCCCCAGTACATTCAGAAAGAAATTTTCGATAGTACTTCTTTTGTAGATTATGGAGCGCTAGAAAGTAGCCGCACACTCCTTTTCAAAGGAGTTAGAAGGGCTGGTGAATTCTGGAAAAATCATGTCCTTCTAAATTTTTCTCAACGTAACTCTAAAATATGAAGCTCTCTTGCTAAGCAGATGTGATTTTCGTAACCAGCAGGTCGGATAACCCTTAAGTGCAAGTTTTCCAAGATGCTCAAGTAATTTCATTTTTTCTCGTTTTACGCTCTGAAGCTCGCCGGTGGATTTTGGTCAAAATGTCGATGATCTCGAATTGACAGGAAACTTCGCTTACAGAGGTTTTCGAACACGCTCTTTACGAAAATCGTGGTCTTTGAGGATTACAGGGTCTTTTTGGTGAGATACGGTGAGGTGACTGTAACTGCATCACGAAAGTGCGTAAATTGGCCCGCACTTCTCGCGTATCTGTCAGCAACCTTGCCTGCTTGCTTTTCTCAGTCAAAGTTACTAGGAACTGCGCTACCGAATGGTGCATGAATCAGGCTCCAGTCTGTAAAAATCACCGAGTTACGAGCCTATGAAAACACGTCCTCATGAATTTTGCCCAAAATCTAAAGATCGCAAATCTCGTCGAAATTCCACCGTGAGCGCTTGTATGACACGCTGATCAAAATCTTTCGCGTCCTTAATGGATCTTATTGTGTTAGATTTAGTAGTTTGAGTTCTAGCCACTGAAATAGCTCTGATATTCAACTGAGCAGCTGAAGCATATGCAAGTACCACATTCAAGACAGTGGGAGTTTTTGGGCGAAGCGAACACATAAACACATAACACATAAACACATACATACATAAATTTAGAGCTAACTCTACAAACAAGGAACACTTAATACACAGCATGAACCGTTACTTTAAGAACAAGATTACACCGAAATTGTATAATATGTATAACATGAAAGAAATTGAAGACGACCAATACGATAAAAAAGCCTTAGAGCAATTACACAAACATTTTGTAATAACCCCAGTGGATAAAGCTAGTTCTAATTTTAGTTTTACCTGCAAAAAATTCTATATAAAAATGATGAAGAAAGAAATGGAACAAGCTAATAATGAAGGTAGCACCTACGAAAGCACTAACTTTACAATTGAAGATATCCGAATGAAGCATGTAAGAATACTTAACAGTCTGAATATTAAACCTGAGGAAAGATTCCTCGAAATACCTAGAATTTATGGTATACCAAAGATGCATAAGAATCCAATCAAATTCAGATACATAACAGGAGCAAGAAAAAGTACACTGAAACCTCTTACAAATATTTTGCAGCTCATACTTGCACATATAAGAAAACATTTTGCTAATTATTGTAAGGTTATAAGACAGAGAACACAAATTAATTACTTCTGGGCGGTGGAAAATAGTACCCAGATAATAAGGGACTTAGCAACAGCTAAGGGAAACTTGAACATTTATTCTGCGGATTTCTCAAGTCTTTTTACTAGTCTACCACATAACGTGGTAAAGTCTAATCTCAAGAAACTTTTAACCCAGTGTATGAGAGGCTTTAAGTATATCAGAGTATGTAATAGAAACGTATCTTATGTCAATACGGTTACACTACACGGAAAATATTTTCAACTGGAGGATGTACTCTACATGATAGACTCCCTGCTAGACTCTAGTTACTTGAGTTTTGGAGGAGTTGTTTACCGACAAATTAAGGGTATACCACAAGGTGCTTCTTGTAGCCCACAAATGGCCGACCTAACATTGACATATATGGAATATGAATTTATGAAAAGGCTGGCAATTACATCAAACAATTTGAGATTCTCTTTTAAGTATACTTATAGATACATTGATGATATACTCCACGTATCTACAAATGAACAAGAATTTGAAAGAATTATTAAAGACATATATCATGATACACTTGAGATAGAAAAGACCAACAATAATTGCAAAATCACTAATTTCTTAGATTTACACATAAACACTTTTGACAATTTAGTAAAATTTAGTCTTTATAATAAAACAGACAGCTATAATTTCAAAGTTATTAGATATCCTCATTGGAACTCCAACATACCTAGGTACATACTAATAAATACATTATCATCTGAGATGCTTAGAATATACAGAAACTGCTCTAGTTACTCGGACTTCAAAGATAGAATAATTGAGTTGGGTAGAACATCTTTTGATAATGGATGGGAGTGTGGGTACTTTATGAACATACTATGTCGGGCTATGATAGATAGACCTTTTATTTTACGCAAATACGGGTTTGTAACGGCGATACATCTTCCTCTGATGCACGAGCTACGTGCAGTGTGGACTAGTGCTAACGCGCCAGGATGACACTGTAAGATGAATTCAAATTCGACCTCATACACAACACAACATTAGTCTCAAGTCTCATTTGCCTGAGCGTGCCTGATTACTTTCCCAACTTCTACTTCTACTTCTAATATTTTTTGACTTTTGACAACATAGGTATTCAAAAAGTATTAGCGAATTTTACGTCTTTTGAAGCTTTCTTGTGAACTACTGATGAGGGCCGACAAGAAAGCTACACATCCGGTATAGTTCTAAGGCCCGAAACCGGTTGTGTGTAAACGCATATACATATATTTCTAAGTTTGTATCTTGTCTTCTAGCTCAACTAGTACTTAGATATAATAACTTCCTTTGTTTCACAATATCCGCAATGCGAGTGTCATACAAGCGCTCACGGTGGAATTTCGACGAGATTTGCGATCTTTAGATTTTGGGCAAAATTCATGAGGACGTGTTTTCATAGGCTCGTAACTCGGTGATTTTTACAGACTGGAGCCTGATTCATGCACTATTCGGTAGCGCAGTTCCTAGTAACTTTGACTGAGAAAAGCAAGCAGGCAAGGTTGCTGACAGATACGCGAGAAGTGCGGGCCAATTTACGCACTTTCGTGATGCAGTTACAGTCACCTCACCGTATCTCACCAAAAAGACCCTGTAATCCTCAAAGACCACGATTTTCGTAAAGAGCGTGTTCGAAAACCTCTGTAAGCGAAGTTTCCTGTCAATTCGAGATCATCGACATTTTGACCAAAATCCACCGGCGAGCTTCAGAGCGTAAAACGAGAAAAAATGAAATTACTTGAGCATCTTGGAAAACTTGCACTTAAGGGTTATCCGACCTGCTGGTTACGAAAATCACATCTGCTTAGCAAGAGAGCTTCATATTTTAGAGTTACGTTGAGAAAAATTTAGAAGGACATGATTTTTCCAGAATTCACCAGCCCTTCTAACTCCTTTGAAAAGGAGTGTGCGGCTACTTTCTAGCGCTCCATAATCTACAAAAGAAGTACTATCGAAAATTTCTTTCTGAATGTACTGGGGGCAATACGCGCTGCTTCACACCTTTGCGAAGAGACGTCCGCAGAAAGTTTTGAGAATACTGAAATCGAGATATCAAAGACATTCTGCATACCGAAAGATTTGCCTTGATGAGCTGAGCACAATGCATTTTTCGGATTCAGAAAATATCCACTCCAAAGAAAGTTACGGCGAGTAGAATCTGGAAACGAGTGATTTTTCCAGAATTTACCAACGCTTTTTTCTCTTTTGAAAAGAAGTCTGCGGCAGCTTACTAGCGCACTATAATGCACAAGAAGAGCACTATCGAATGGTGCTTACTGGAAGCTTTCAAGTTGGATAGGCGCTGCGTTACATACTTGCAAAGGGACCTCCTCAGAACAATTTGAGAAAACTGAAAACAAGATATAGATGACATGACGTATGTAGAAAGATT